TGTTTCATGAGCCAAAAGGCTGGAAGAAGGTCAAGCAGCAGTGTCTACCATGGCTCCCTTGAGGCTGGCTGGCCTCACACTCAGTCATCCTGTTGAGTCTCAGGCACTTTCCTGCCTAGGACTCCAGTAGAGTGTGAGCTCCTTGAGGGCAGGCATCATCTTAATTATCCGCGTCAGCCCAGTGCCTGGCAACACTTAAGAAATAAAAATCCAGCAAATATCTCCTGGTATTCTCTGGACCAAGAGCTGCATGTGAAGGATGGTAATGGAGCTCCACAGCGAAGGGTGATTTGGAATCCTGCAGGCCTGGGGCCATAGTAGCCTTTTTTAGAGAGGTAGAGATCTTGAGTAAGAGTAAGGTTTCATGTCCCAATAGCAACCCCATATGCGCCCCATGATCCATTCATCAGAATCTTTCTATTATTCCACATAGGTCATCTTCTCCCACATTTCTGCACAGACTGACCTCTTTGCCTGGACTGCTTATTTTCCTTCTCCACTTGGCTAATTCCTACTTATACTTTAAGGCTCAGTTTCAAGGAACACCTCCTCTTGGAAGGCCCAGGCATCCACTGTGCCTGTAAAATCCAGGCTGGCAGGGACACCCCTCAGGACTGCCTCACTGGTTCAGGCTTGTAAGGTCACCACAGTACCCTAAGGATTCCCTTACTCCTCCCATCTTATCCATCCCAGGGAAGAGCTAAAACCACAACAGAAGAGATTCAAATCAGGCATTAGGAAGAGCTCCTTGAGAACAGGTGAAAGGCACTGGAGTAACTATCTGAAGAGAGGGGAAAAAAAAGACCTTTAAGGAGTCTTTCCCTTCCTTCCAGGTCAGGGCAATGTAACCTTCATTTAGGCAAGTGAAAGATGGGAAGGTGCCTCAAGTGCTTGAGGGCCTGGGTTATCTAAGGGTGAGGTTTTACCTGCTGGAGCATCCTCCTTCAGTGTGGTCAGCCAGGGTTCTGGGTCACAGGCACGAAGAGTACTGTCCACTTGGTCATGGGGGCACAGGCTGGAGCCTGGGTCCAACAAAGGCCTCAGTTCTGGAGGAATCTGAGACGAGTCACCCGTGAGCCTGCAGCATGAGAGAGAAGACAAGGGCCACACACAAGTGAGGGCTTCTCCAAGGTGACTCACTCCTGCTCCTCCCACCAAGCAGGAGGAACCAAAATGAGAACCAGGGGGAGCCAGGGCAGAGAGGGAGAGTCTGTCCTGTTCTCTGCCAATTAGAGAGCAGGGGAAACGTTAATGAGAACGTCCAGAGGCTCCCTGGGCTCCTTCAGGGCCAGTCTTACTACAGGGGTTTGGGATGGGGCTGCAAATCTTCTGGGTCAGTGTGCTGTGGGGGATGAAGACACTGGGAGACAGAGAAGCCTCATGCCCTATCCTCTCCACTAGACAGAAATCGCCTAGTTTAGTTTAGCCAGTAACTGGTGGAGCAGCTAGGCTGAAGTCAGCTCTTGAGGCTCCAGAAAAGCTGCTGTGTGGGAGGGAAATCACAGCTCAGTCATTCACTGGTAAGCCATATCACCTTCCTGGCCCACCCTGATTCCTCATCTTGAAAATGGGGATAGTAAAACCTACCTCACAAGGAGTGGTTGTGAAGGTCAATGAGGTCATGGATTGAAAGCACCCCATGAAGTACAAATCTGAATATTCACTCAGGGGGAATATTGTTAATGCCCCTAGTAAGGATGGATAATCCATTTGGGAGCACTAGTCAGGTGGAACAGTCAGTGTCAGTTTAAGGCAAGGATTTCAGAGGAGGGGAATCTGTCTGAGAAGGAGTGTTGTGAGGCTGGGCCCAGACCAATCTCTGGAAAATTGTAAATGACCCTCAGACCTGGAATTTCCCAGGCCTCTACCCTCCCCAACAAGGAGGGACGAGGATGAGGGGTGTGTGTATTGGATTAACCCTGGTAGAGACTTTCTCGGGGCTCTGAATACATCTAGCCTTTGACAGAACTCAGGGATAGGGACTTCCATAGAAACTGGAAGGACAATTCAGGCAAAGAAGGGCATCAGGACTGTGTTGGACACATTCACCCTGGACACTGACTGTACCTCATCCAAGGGACAGCCTTGCAGAGGGCTCCTGAGACTCAAGGAGAACAAAGCTTTCTCAACTGGAGGCTCATCTTAAGAGAGAGGACCACGGGCTAGCCCCGTGGTGCAGCGGTTAAGTTCGCAGGTTCTGCCTGGGCGGCGGGGGTTCCCTGGCCAGGATCCCGAGGGCAGACCTACACACTGCTTGTCAAGTCATGCTGTGACAGGCGTCCCACATATAAAGTAGAGGAAGATGGGCACGGATGTTAGTTCACGGCCAGGCTTCCTCAGGAAAAAGAGGAGGATTGGCGGCAGATGTTAGCTGAGGACTGATCTTCCTCAAAAAAAAAAAAAAAAAGAGAGGACCAGAGCAGGAGCACAACAGGCTGCGGGGTTAGAATCCAAAGCACACAAGCCCTTAAACTCAGAGCAGAAGAGCTCTATAAGCCTTATTCCATTTCCTCGTTTTCTAAAACAAATACTAATATCCAGACCTCACAATGCTGAGTTAAGGATCAGATGGGCTAGTACCTCTGAGAACGCTTTGCAAATGTTGGTTATTATGATGCAGCGTCAGCTCCCAGCCAGTCAAGTCAGATTAGAGCGGTTTTCTCCAGTTCTCCCCATCGTCTTCGCGGTTACCAACCGAGAATTTCTGGAAAGGGTGTGACCACTGTGGGCAGAAGAGAGATGGTAATGAATAGGCGAAACGTCGAGGCAAGGCAAGGCAAGCGGCAACCTGACCCCCAGCTCCTCCTCTTCTCCAGCCTCAGGTTCTTTCTTGGCTTGGAGGACAGTGGGAGGGCAGACCAGAAGAGCCGGGTAAGGGTCCTGGGAGTCCCGCCGACCCCGCCCCCACGTCCTGGCGGGAACCGGGGACGCCCTGTCCCGGCGAGGTGCCTGCCGGGCCCAGGGCTGGGATGCCACTCCAGCAGCACCTGGCACGGGGAGAGTGTGTCCTTCCCGGGAAGGTGAATGTGACCCGGCTAAGGGCGCAGCCTCTCCCTTCCCGGTCCCTAGGTAGGGCGAGGAGAGGAGCGGGAGCCGGGACCCAGCCTGCCAACCGGGACCCTTCCCCCACCTCGGGCCGCCCCCTGTCGGCAAGGTAGAGAGGTGGAGAGTGACCGTGAAAGGTCCTTGTTTTGGGATAAGAGAGGGTCAGAGGGAAAAGGGAAGAGAAACGGCGCTTTGGAAACGGGAGGGGGAGACACCCCCTTCTTCCTCAGCGCTCTGGCGGCAAACCGGCCTCTTGTCCCTTCGGGGTCGCCAAGGGCTTCGGACCTGGGCTGGGGTGTCACTCACCGGTCCCACGACCTGAGCCGCCGAGCATGCGGCCCCCACCGGGCCCGACTGGAAAGGCGGGCGGGCCGGGCGAGGCGGCGGGAAGAGGCCGGGGAGGGGAGGGAGGAGGAGGCAGGAGGGAAAGCCGGGACCGCAGATCACACCCGGCCGGCAGCGGCGGCTCTGGCCCAGGGGCTGGGAGCCGGCTGGCTCCTCCCCGGGGCGGGGCGCGCACAAGCGGCGCGGGGCGCACGTGGCCCGCCCGGGATTCCGGATCCTGAGTTGGGGGCTCCATTTGGGACCAAGTGTTTTGCGAGTTTGGGGTAAGACGGCGGTGAAACGGCAGCCTCCCGTCGTGTGACGGGAGGGGCGCGGGAGGCCGGGCTTCCTGGGCCGACGGGCCTCACAGGACCGTGGGGGCTTCCCGTAGGGGACGCCGCGGCCGAAAGTTTGCGCCGAGCCCTCTGACCCCAGCGCTCTGACAGGGCCTCGCCCCGGAGTCGGTGGGGCGCGCCACGCGCCCTTCCCGCTCCGGGCTCTCTGATGGCCGGCCCACGGCCACGACCCGAGAGGACCTGGGCTGGGCGAGCCCCTGATGGGAGGACAGGCGCGGGAAGCAGGCCTCCTCCTGGGCTGGGGTCGCGCGGAACCCACCGGCCCGGAAACGCACCCGCGCCGCGACGGCCGGAAGCGCCGCTCGGAAGGCGGAAGCGGGTTGCTCCCGCGTGGCCTTGCGGTGGGAGCCGGGTGGCCCGGCCCGCGTAGACCGCCCTCTGCCCCGGGTGCGGGGCTGCCGGGACCACCGGGAGCACGTGAGGTGTAGGGCCCCGCGCGCCGTGACGTGTGCCTGTCGGGAACAAGAGTCTGTGTTATCGTGAGGTATTGTTGCTGGGCTGAGACAGGCCATCATGCGTGCATGCGTTCCTTTATTCAAGATGGTTCTTTGTTCAGCCAACAACGTGTTCTTCCTTTGTGCCACTTGTCAGACATTGATGTGTGGCAGAGACGCGTTTTAAATCCTTTTAAAACAACTGACACTAGTATGCGCTCTACGCCCACGTCCATTCTACCTACTACACCTTCACCTGAAAGTGTAGTTGTCTGTAAATAGAGTCAGGAGCAGCCTGGGGCTCAGGAGACCGCTGGAGGACTCGGCATTTTCTACCAGAGGCGATAGGTTCAGAGAGGCTCTGAACAGAAACCAAGGCAACAAACTCCAAAGTGAACTTAAACACCTTCTCTCTCCTTGCCCCTCTCTCCATCTCTTCTGGGATTTGACTTACAGTCATTAGTTAAGTGTATTTGCTTACATAATCTTCATGACATACACTGCTTGGTAATAGGAATTCCTATCCGCCTGATTCCATTCTCAGAGTTTATATCCCAAATTCACCTTTCTTTGTGAGTCTGCCTTACACTGAGACTATTCTAAAGCTTTTTAACCAATAATTTCATAGTGTTAGTGTCACATTCTTATCCTGATGTGTGTTAGGCTTCTTCCGACAATCCTTGGAATCACAAGTCATAGGTTTTGCTCTGATTTGAAAACATTAGGGCCTAGAGTTCTGCTCTGAAACCTAGGGATAAGAATAAAATCAAGTCAGGTATACATACATGCCGATTCCACAAGAACATTGCACAAATGCATTCCTTTGCCCTTGTTTTCACAGGAAGAAGAAAAAAATGTCTCAGAAGCAGATGAAGGAAGCTTTTGTCAGTAACCACAATGGAACCAGCGTGCTGGAAATCACCCAGGGCTTGTGCTTGCCTGCGCTCTGTGTCCTGTGCAGAGGGCTCCTGATCATTCTCTCACAGCACTTGTGTTCTTCTTCACATACCTGGGGAACTCGATTCTTCATTGACTTTGTTATCCTGATAGTTCCCCTGGTGGCCACGTTGACCATTTTGTCTTCATTTGTCCTCCTTGAGCACCTTGCTGTAATTATCATTGGGGCAGGAATGTTCTATCATATATACTGCAGGAGAACTTGCTATGCCAGAATACCTGTCCAAAAAATCCTTGAAAAATTCTTGAAAATCAGTGTAGAATCAGAATACATTCCAGCTATCTCTTGTTTTCGTGTAATTAACAGTGCATTTACTGCTGTTGCCATTTTGGCTGTGGACTTTCCACTTTTTCCCAGAAGATTTGCCAAAACTGAGCTCTATGGGACAGGAGCAATGGATTTTGGAGTAGGAGGCTTTGTTTTTGGTACTGCAATGGTTTCTCCAGAGGTTAGGAGAAAATACATGAAAGGGTCCACATTTTATCATCTTACAAAGTCATTGTACTCTGTCTGGCCATTAGTCTTCTTAGGAATAGGCCGATTAGTCGTTATAAAATCCATAGATTATCAGGAACATTTAACTGAGTATGGGGTTCACTGGAACTTTTTCTTTACCTTAATAGTTGTGAAATTGATAACATCACTACTTTTGATTATTTTTCCCCTAAATAAATCCTGGATTGTGGCCATCAGCATTACTGTATTATACCAGCTAGCCCTTGACTTTACCCCACTGAGAAAGTTAATTTTGTATGGCACTGATGGCAGTGGCACAAGGGTTGGTTTATTAAATGCCAACCGAGAAGGAATAATCTCTACCTTGGGGTATGTGGCAATACACATGGCTGGTGTACAAACAGGATCATATGTGCTTAAAAAAAGGTCACATATCAAAGACTGGATAAAAGTAGCATATTGTATTCTACTGACAGCTATTAGCCTCTTCATATCTCTTTACATAGTTCAGGTAAACGTAGAAGTAGCATCTCGCAGAATGGCCAATTTAGCCTTTTGTATTTGGATAGTTGCTTCTAGCCTGATCCTTCTTAGTAGTTTATTACTAGTTGATATAATTTTGAGTTTTGCCAAATTTCTAATTAAAGGGGCTCAAGTACCATGTTCTTGGAAACTTATCCAGTCACCTGCTACAAATAAAAAGCATTCAGAATCTCTAGTCTCTGAAGCTGAAAGAAGGGAACCCAGTCTTTGTCTAGTTACAGCTATGAACAGAAACCAGTTAATTTTTTTCTTGCTGTCAAATGTAACAACTGGCCTGGTCAACCTGTTGGTAGATACATTACACAGCAGTACCTTGTGGGCCTTATTTGTGCTCAATCTCTATATGTTTACCAACTGTTTAGTTATATATGTGCTACACTTGCAAGATAAGACTATAAAATTTTGGTGATCAGTGGGGGTAGTGTGTATCTGTTTGAGCAATATTAATGAGGAAGAATAAATATTAAATGTGAAGAAATTGGGCTTTTGGCAACCCAGTATTAACTATATCTTATTATAAGAGTTTCAATACTCCATAACAGTAGTGATGCTCAATATTTTAATGCGTCTCAGCACTATATAAAACAAACCAATAGAGAAGAAAAAGAGCCTTATGACTTGTTAGATATTTATTGAAGTATTTTAAGGAAACTTGTGTTTATAGTTGTGACACTGGAAGATTGGAGGGTGGGGAGGAGGATTTTTACTTTCTACCTTATACACCTTACACCATTCTGTACTTCTTTGGTATGTATTACTTTTATATATAATAGGGTACATTAAAACACCTCAGTGTGAACTGTGGAATTGTCAATGCTTCTTTACTTTTCAATTTTAATCTTTTAAAAAAGCCTAAGTATAAGAAAGTGTTTAGGGGCCAGCCCCGTGGCCTAGTGATTGGGTTTGTGTGCTCTGCTTTGGCGGCTCAGGGTTTTGCAGGTTTGGATCCTGGGCGCAGACCTAGCATCACTCATCAAGCTGTGCTGAGGCAGCGTCCCACACAGCAGAACGATAAGGACCTACAACTAGAATATACAGCTATGTGCTGGGGGGCTTTGGGCAGAAGAAGGAGAAAAAATAAGTGTTCTAAATCAAATACTTATATACAATAAAGTCAGAAAACAGTTAAATGCTCCAAAGAATAGACTGAATTGTATGATGTAGGCATATTATGAGGCAATAGTTTTTGCCTTGGGTCTAGTTCATTTTTTATTTTTTTTTTATTTTTTAAAGATTTTATTTTTTTCCTTTTTCTCCCCAAAGCCCCCCAGTACATAGTTGAATATTCTTCATTGTGGGTCCTAATTGTGGCATGTGGGATGCTGCCTCAGCGTGGTTTGATGATCAGTGCCTTGTCCGCGCCCAGGATTCGAACCAATGAAACACTGGGCCGCCTGCAGTGGAGCACGCACACTTAACCACTTGGCCACAGGGCCAGCCCCTCTAGTTCATTTTTTTAACCTACTCTGTGCTAGGGATGATAAGCAAGTTTCCTGCTATCTTAGAGCTTGCAATCTAATGGGGAAACATTAAACAACTGTTATAAACTGCGTTAAGTAATGAAGTATAGGTTGCCGTGAGTGTTAAATCAAGGAGTGACCTAGGAGGCCTGCCCTGTGGCCTAGTGGTTAAGTTTGGAGTGCTCTGCTTTGGTGGCCTGGGGTTCGGTCGCCAGGCACGGATCTGCACCACACGTCAGCAGACATGCTGTGGTGGCAACCCACATACAAAACAGAAGAAGACTGGCACAGGTATTAGCTTAGGGAAAATCTTCCTCAGGCAAAAAAAAAAAAAAAGAGTAAGAGGGGCTGGCCCAGTGGCGCAGCAGTTAAGTTTGCACCTTCCACTTAAGTAGCCCGGGGTTCGCCAATTCAGATCCCCAGTGTAGACCTATGCACTGCTTGGCAAGCCATACTGTGGCAGGTGTCCCACATATAAAGTAGAGGAAGATGGGCATGGATGTTAGCTCAGGGCCAGTCTCCCTCAGCAAAAAGAGGAGGATTGGCAGCAGATGTTAGCTCAGGGCTAATCTTCTTCAAAAAAAGTAGATTGACAACAGATGTTAGCTCAGGGTGAATCTTCCTCAGGAAGAAAAAAAGTGACCTAGTCAACTCAGTTTTCCCCACACGTGATTATTTTTCTGAGCTAGAGCTGACGGATGGGATGAGGAGTTAAGGTTCATGTGTCTGATGAGCTAGAGGGGAGTGGGGGGCAGCAGGTGCTAGTAAGGGAGGGGTACACAGCAGAGAGAAATCTGGGAAGGATGAATCCCTCAGCAAAGGTCCTGAGTTGGGAGGGAACCTAGCACACCTTGGAAAGGCTGGAGCTCAGAAAAGAGCCTGGGTAATGAGCTAGAGAGGCAGGGGTCATATCAGGCATGCCTCATCTCCATATTAAGGGGAAAGAGAACTAGTGAGAAAGTCATCAAGTACCTAGTCTAACTTAATAAAACTATGGCTATATCAAGGTTTAATATCCTACTGAGAGCTTGAGTCATTTAAAAACTAAGCAGACCTTTGAAACTGCTGTTCAAAATCTAAGATTTAAAAAACAAAATGCTTAGTTTCTTTTTCTTTTTTGCTTTTTCTCCCCAAATCCCCCCAGTACATACATGTATACTCTGGTTGTGGGTCCTTCTAGCTGTGGCATGTGGGATGCTGCCTCAACGTGCCCTGATGAGTGGTGACATGTCAGCGTCCAGGATCCAAACTGGTGAAACCCTGGGCCGCCGAAGCAGAGCACGTGAACTTAACCACTCGGCCACAGAGCTGGCCCCTTAGTTTCTAATTCTGATGTTCTCTCTATATTGTTTAGTGAGTGAAAAAAAGGAATTAAAATCTGCCTTTCTATTCTGTTGTATTTTCAAGTAAAAATCTGATTATTGCAGAAATAGGCAGGGGTCAGATGTTCAAGTTAATTTTATATTTAGCAAGCAATCTAGTTATTTGTGTAGTGTAGATGGAGCCTCCTCTAACATTAAATTGTAGATTTGCTGTTTTAATTAGTTGCCTCCAAATTAGTTCAAAATTTATTCCTTAATTTGTTAAATATGACTATTATATTAGTTTACTTCAATTTTTTACATTGATGATGGCTAATTTAGTATTTATGTGGCATTTTATATTTGCTAACTACAATCAATTATATTTGGAGGTAATCTATTATTGAAAGGAATTTCCCCCCTAAAGAAATCAGTATGTTGCATAGTTATGTAGCTATAAAAACAAAAATCAGAGCCAGCCCTGATGGCCAAGTGATTAAAGTTTGGTGCTCACCGTTTTGGCAGCCTGGGTTTGCTTCCTGGTGGTGGAACCACACCACCGGTCTGTAGGTTGCCATGCTGTGGCAGTGGCTCACATAGAACTAGAATGACTTACAACTAGGATATACAACTATGTACTACGGCTTAGGGAGGAAAGAAAAAGGAAGATTGGCAACAGATGTTAGCTCAGGACGACTCTTTCCCTGCAAAAAACAAAACGAAACAAAAATCAGATTAAATTTTATTTTCAATTAAAAAGGAATACTTTTGAAATTTAACCAATAAGATTATAGTACGTAAATTAACTATGACTAGGAAAGGTGATTGGTTTTCTTGCTAACAATGTCACAGTGCTAATATCCCACAACTTATCTGTATAAAGCATTCAGAAGAGGTCTCAGAGGCTCTAACCATATTCTCTCATTAAAATAAAAGTAATTTAGGGGCCGGCCCCATGGCCGAGCGGTTAAGTTCATATGCTCCGCTGCAGGCAGCCCAGTGTTTCGTCGGTTCAAATCCTGGGCATGGACATGGCACCGCTCATCAAGCCACGCTGAGGCAGCATTCCACATGCCACAACTAGAAGGACCCACAACTGAGAATATACAACTATGTACTGGGGGGCTTTGGGGAGAAAAAGGAAAAAATAAAATCTTTAAAAAAAAAAAGTAAAGTAAGTTATTTGATGACTTAATGAGCATGTTGTCTAACTGGTCTGCTGCTTCCTGTCAGTAACTGCTCCTTCATCCTTTTCTAGGTCTTAAATAGGTCTTAGATATCTCTTAGTAAGTTTCTGTCTCACACAGTTACAGATATTGAATCATAACTTAAAAGAACAAAGTGTACTCTGTGTGTCTTTTCCACTTCTAATTATGTAAGAGCAAGCTAATGAAATAGCATTCATTAAAACAGAAGAATTAGAGAAAAAAAAATTCTGACTTGATTCTAGTTTACAGGAGAGAAAGAGATCATTCAACAAAGATGTACTGAGATCCAATGACCAGGAATAGGTGCCAGAGATACCACAGAAAATAAGACAAAGTCCTTGCCTTCGAGGGGCTTACATTTTAGCATTATTTTTCCTTTTAAAGAGTCTAAGTAGGGAAAATGTGTCTCTATTTTTGATAAATACAACAGAACTTCCCACTGTCGGCTCATGAAAAAGAAAACCCAATTCAGAGATCCTCAGATTTGGACAACTGTGGTAATTTAAATAGCATTCTGCTGTCGATTTTATTACCACATAAAACAACATGGTTATTACAGTGAAAACAACAGAAGATATTATAATTAACTAGTTTTCAACTGTCAGCTTTTGAGGACACAGAAGGAAAGGGGAAAGAGAAAGGAAGAATAAATCAGGTCTAGGACCTTATCCTATCTCTGACCTTCAGAAAATGACTCATTCCCATGACTTTAATGTCACACAATTATAAAATGGGCTGTCCACCACATTTCTATCAATAGCTTTGTGTTTAGAAGATGACAACCAGTTTTATTTTTATTGAACATCAATGTGCAATATGTTGTATAGATCATACAAAAACATACTTTGCTCCCTAGGAGTTTATACATACAGTTATGCATCAGTTAATGACAGGGACACATTCTGAGAAATGTATTGTTAGGTGATTTCATTGTTGTTCAAACTTCACAGAGTGTACTGAAGGGGAACGAAATTTGCCACCCCAAAATGTCTCTCTATAACACCAGGATTATTTTAGGCTGACTATTTTTAGGAAACAAAAGACAAACTTTTTCTTGTTAGCTCCCCCTTAACTGCCTAAAAGAATTCAGGTTGAAAAAAAAACCTGTCTCAGGAAGCAAGCTATTCCCTTAATAACATGAACTTGGTGGTAGACAGGGAGGAACCTAGAAAAGCCTGTTTCTAGGCTCCCCTAGAACACTAGAGGGTTCCCTTCTGTGTTCTTCTGTTTCTGTGTGGCCAAACACTTGTTTGGAAATGTTTTCTCCTTTTCACCTACCTGTGAATTGCCTTCTTTCCCTTTGAAATCCCTAACTCTCCCCACCCCCAACATCTTCTTTTGTCTTTAGCTGAGGATGGTACTTAAGGTGAGGGCTTCCGCCATTTTGGTGAGTTACTCAGTTTTCCTGGGGTTTTCTCATGTATACATTATTAAACTTTTGTTTCTTTTTCTCCTGTTAATCTCTCTCATGTCAGCTTTTCTTAGACCAGCCAGAAGAACCTATAAGGGTAGTGGAAAATTTCTTCCTCCCCTATGGTACAAACCTAGATGGTATAGCCTACTACACACCTAGGCTATACGGTACTAATCTTATGGGATCACTGTGGTATATGCTGTCCCTCGTTGACCAAAACGTTATGTGACACATGACTGTAGTCTATGAAGATGAGAAATAATATAAGGAATAAATTGGTACCCTTCATTTCTTTTAAACCTAGGTAGCTTGGGGAATAGTCATATCTCATTTATGCCCGAGTTTTGTGGCTGGCTTTCACACATTGGTGACCTAAGACAGAAAAGAATGGTATTTTGCTGATAATTTATCACATCTCCAT